TGACATTTGATTTTGGCTCAGGTCACAATCTCAGGATTTCAGGGTTGTGAGATTGAGCCCAGAGTTGGGCTCCGCGCTCAGCAGGGAATCTGCTCGAGATTCTCTCCCTCTGCCCTCTTACCAACCCCCCCATGAGTTTGTGCACATCCATGTGCGCTTGCTCACTCGCTCTCTCTCTCTGAAATAAATAAATCTGGAAAAAAATGAATAGACAACTCATAAGAAAAAATGCAAATGGAAATTAATATATGAAACTAATTCCTAACCTCATTACTAATCAGGTAATGTAATCAGATGCCATTTCACTCCACTGGGACTGGCAAAAATGCTGAATTCCTGCCTGAGATTAGGACGCACATATCCTGCCACTTCTCTCCTAGTTAGAGATCTCAGAGAATCGTTACACACACGTGGAGCCATGGACAAAAATGCTCATTGAAGAGTTGTTCCTAACAGCCCCAAATCAGCGGCCACCCATCCATCAACAGGAGAAAGGATAAATCATCATCATCATACAATGGAATGTGAAAGCAACGAGTTAATGATCTATACCTGCATGTACCAACGTGAACAGACCTCAAAAACGATGCTGAGCCAGAAAACATGCTACAGAGTAATGCCTTATGTGTTATGGAAGGATTTCTATAATGTATATATCCAGGTGTTGTAAAGCTATAAAACATGCATGGAGAGCCCCCAAATCAAGATAATAACCCCCCCCCCCCACCGAGAGGGAAGAGAAAGGGACTGCGGAAGAGGCTTCACTTGTGTCTCAAATATTTTGAGAGAGACTGTATCTGAACCAATTAGTGCAAAAGATATTTGTCAAAATTTACCAAAATAATCATCCATTTCTACCCCTCCTTGGCGGGTCCTCTCTCCGATCCTTACCCCTGCCAGGCTGAGCTGGAGGCAACAGGTCTGGACCCATTGCCAGGGCAGCAAATTCAGCTCCTCCTTCCAACTGGCCTGTTCCTGACCGGCGCGGGGGCACCTGTGGTCTCTTGAGGATCCCGCAGAACGCAATTCCACCCCCTGCCTGGGGCTGCCCTGCCTCCAAGGAGCTGCCCAAGTCGGTAGGAGGCAGCCAGACCCTTTTCCACTTGCAGGTGGGGAGAAGCGGGGCCGGGTTCCCGTGGTGAGGCCCTGGGTGGGGGTCGGGGGTCAGAGAAGCAACCCAGGGAGCCCCTATCTTCCCCTTGGTGACAGGCAGATCTCGGAGAGTGCAGAGAGCAAGAGCTTTGGAGCTGCGAAGACAGGTTCAAAGCCAGCTCTCACCTGAAATCCTTCCATGACCCCGGGGCCAATCACTAGCCTGAGGCTCTGTTTTTACAACTTTAAAATAAGAATAGTGTTCCCTACCTCATATCTCTGGATACAGGGACCCAAAAGATGTCCAGATATTAAAAAAAAAAAAAAAAAAAAAAGATGCTGTCCAGTAGAGGAAAATATAGGCTAAATACAGGCTCTGTGAAAGAAGCCAGTCACAAAAGGACAAATGCTGCAGGAATCCACTCATATGAGGTAGGCAGGCAAATTTATCAACACAGAAAGTAGAAGGGTGGGTGCAGGGGCTGGGGGAGGGGAGGGTGCGGAGCCAGTGTTTAACGGGGACAGAGCTTCATCAATTTGTGTGCAAGATGAACACAAATTCTGCGGGGCGCCTGGGGGGCTCAGTCGTTAAGCGTCTGCCCTCGGCTCGGGTCAGGATCCCGGGGTCCTGGGATCGAGCCCCGCATCGGGCTCCCTGCTCCGCGGGAAGCCCGCTCCTCCCTCTCCCGCTCCCCCTGCCTGTGTGCCTACTCTTCCTATCTCTCTCTCTGTCAAATAAATAAAATCTTAAAAAAAAAAAAAAAAAAAGATGAACACAAATTCTGGAAATCACTGGTGGCTGCACCTTGACGTGACGGCTTTAATGCTACTGAAGCCGCACTTAAAAATGGTGATGCTTTTTAATTTTCCAGTTATGGGGCTCAGACCGCAATGTAACGAAATTAGGAGAAGAGAAGCATGATCTCATTCTCCGTCCAAAAAAAATCCTATCAGCAACTTATTGCTGTATGCATAGAAAAATCTGGAACGCTGTACATAGAACTGTACGTAGTTAAGTCTGAGGGTGGGCAAGACTGTAGAGGGCTGTCCATACGACACACTCTTCTATCATTGAAGTTTGGTACTTTGATGAGTAGGGAAAGCACCTGGGGAGAAAAGACCTTCCTCACTGTGTGATTTCCGAGGATTGTAAAAGTTTATGAGAAGGACCTGCCATCTACTGAGTTAGGAGACTTGTAACTACTTAAATGACATGACATATCCTGCCTGTGGCCCAGAGAAAGGTGCGCTATGGTTACAAGCCCCTGCCATCACAGAAAACCCTCCCGGAGCAGGGGGAAGACACCCAGGTGAGGGTGAGCCACAAGGACAGGCACCTCCAAGCACAGACCTGACCCCCCGGAGCCCTCCAGGACCTGACCCGTCACACAGGCCACACTCAAGAGCCTTGAGCTTCTGGAGCCCCCCGCCAGGCTTAGGACCCCAGGAACGGATGGAGGTAGAGAGTCGGCGATTTGCTCTCAGAACCACCCCTTAGGTATCCCTCGACGTTGTTGATTTCCCCTGATGCTTCTTCCAGAAGGGGAAGGGAGTCAAAGAAATGACCCGCTGCCCACTCCAGCCCAGAGGGGGACCACCCCAGCATGCTCCAGTCCCCACGTCAGCCTGCAGACCTTTGGCTTTCACACTCGAGGCATGGCAGGCAGGCCGGACTACGGGTAAACAGGGCACAGAGAATCTTTTGTTAAAGCCCAAACAGAGATGCTGGGCAAGCTTCCCAGGCAAGAGGGGAGGCAGGAGGCTGGCGCCCCTCCTTGTACCACACTTGGGAAGGCGGTCTGTCCTTCTGATGCTCTCACAGGGAAGGGGGAAGGGCCATTCTCCAGAGGCCTAAGGAAGACAGTGGGTCAGGGGCCCTGTCCCGGAAGGGCTCCGGGCCTGCGAATCTGCTCCTCAGCCAGCACCCCTGGGCTTCCTCTGGTCCCAGAGCCAGGAGTGGGAAGAAAGGTCTCACCTCGTCTTCGGGTGCACACAGCCCCCACCCACTCAAGAGCAGGGCATTGCCCTCCAGGCCCCCACACCCACTTGGGGTGAGTTAGCAGCAGGCTAGGGGCACTGCCTGGCTGGGCACTTACCCCGCACAGAAAGGCACACCCTCACTTCCCGGGAAAGGAAGAGGGGAGGCAGTCAGGGCAAGAGGGGTAAGGCACAGGTTTCATTTCCAAACTGCTCTCACATTTGGACTGGGCCTCCCAAACAGGTCCGTCCTCAGGCAATCTTGCAAGGCTGTGGCCTACCCGACGGGGTGAAGGGTGACAGGTGAGGGACACCACCGAGGGCTCCCAGCCAAGCCCACAGAGCAGCAGGCCAGGCTGGAGGCCCAAGCCGCCCCCTTGCCCACCCAGCACTTCCTGTGCCTCAGCTGCCCATCACTTCACCAGTGGGTGACCCTGGGAAAGTCACCTTACCTCCCAGGGCTCTGGTTTCCTCATCTGTAAAATGGTCATGACTTGTAGCAAGGACTGAATGACAGAGTCCGTGGAAAGGTCTGGCCCAGGGCCTGCCATGTATTTAAGACCACAATAGTAGCTGCTGTTATTGTTACGGCAGGTTTCACCCGTCCCTTTATGGGAGAGAGGTTAAGCGACCTGTCCAAGGCCACAGAGCTAGAAGGTGCTGGGACAGATCCCCACAGGGCTGACTTTCCATTGTGCCAATCTGCCTCAAAGGCAAGCAGATCTCCCGGGCCCTACCTGAGCACCGAGAACCCCGGAAATGCTTCCTAGGACCAGACCCCTTTTTCTGAGGGATATGTGGAATCAAGGCCTCTGCAGGAAATCCTAGCAGAATATACTCAAATGCCTCTGGTATCTCGGGGATAGCTTTAAGGAAACTCTAGAAGGGAGCCCCACTCTGTCGGGTCTGGGCCCACAAGCCAGGTAGCCACATCTGGGCCCATGGGGGCAGAGGGGCCTCGGTCTGCTATGAGCACCAGCACTGCGTGCCTGGACCAGTTATGGAATGGGGGCAGAAGCACCCACGGGAGGCTGCAGACACATCTGCTGAGACCCCAGGGGACCGGGACTGAGGCCAAGGTAAGCTGCCTATGGCCCGGCTCTCTGGGCTGGAGGGGGGCTGCCCCCAGAGATCGTGATGCAGGGTGCCAGGGGAAAGGGGTGAAGGGCAGGATCACCATGTGCCCAGCCCCTGCCCAGCACATCTGTCAACAGCCAACCCTGTCAGAGGGCGTGAGTTTGGCGGCGGCGCCTCTGAGGGTGTCCAGGTGGCATGTGAGGGCTGTGGAATTTTACAGCCGCTTTTCCTCCAGTGGAACGTTGCTCCAGGCAGGCTATACGGCAGCAGTCCGTTTAATTTTGAGGTTTTAGGCTCTCAAGAGACAGTTAAACATAGAACTTGCTACGCGATGCAGTAGGAACGCACTGGGAAAGACAGCAGGGGATGTTTGTGGCTGGGAGTAAAAGCCGTTCTAGAAACCTCAGTCCCACACATCCTTGAAGAGGGAATGGTTAACTCCCCGCATGTACTGGGAAGTCACTAGAACCCCCGGTCCTGAGGAGAGCTTGGCCCTGCTTCTACACCAAGGGCTAATCACAGGGACTCCTTGGCCACAGTGGGGACCAGGGCTGAAAGCGTCACTCTGCTCAGCGGCTCCTGGCACGGTCTGCAGACCGACCGCCAGCCTCGCACCAGCCTGAGAGCATCCTCAAAATACAGATTCCTGCCCCCCAACCCCATCCCCGGCTCAGGCTCTGCAGGTATGTGCTGGGGGGTCCCAGGGAACCCAGCATTGTAACAAGCCCCTGGGCAGCTCTGAAGTGCCTCCGAGCCTGAGAACCTGGAGAAGAAAAACCGAAGGTGGTGTAGAAAGAGCATAGGCCGCCAAGGCAAACAGATCCGGCTTCAAGTCCCAGCTTTGCCACCCGCAGGCAAGAGCCCTCGCCCCTCCAAGCCTTGGCCTTGAGCCTGTAAAACGGTGGAACCACCTCACAGAGGAGAGCTGCTATGCGTACGCGGTGACCCGGCGCACCACCCGCCCAATGCTCGGACCGTGGCCGCTGACGACGACCGGGGACATGAAGGCCCCGCTGCTAGGAGGAGGGAGAAGGTGGGGAGGCCAACTCCTGGGGCCAGAAGTGTCTCGAGTGAGAAGAAAAAGAGACTGTAGGGAAAGAACAGGAGGAAGAAACACAGGTGAGGAAGACAGGCCACCAGGTAAGGACGCCTCGTTCCCAGCTCGACCCTGCCAGACCACAAAACCAGGTGGCCAGGCCTGAAATCCCTCCTGTCCCAACAGAGCGGCTTTCGACCCAGATCACAGGGCAGCCTCCTCCGCACCTGCCCACCCTCAAGATTACAACCCAAAAGGAGGGGCGCCTGGCTGGCTCAGTCGGTGAAGCGGCTGCCTTCGGCTCAGGTCATGATCCCAGGGTCCCGGGATCGAGCCCCATGTCAGGGTCCCTGCTCAGCAGGGAGGCTACTTCCCCCTCTCCCTCGGCCTCTCCCTTCCCCTCCTCATGCTCTCTCTCTGTCTCTCTCAATGAATAAATAAAAAAATCTTAAAAAACAAAAAACAAACACCTGAAAGGAGAGGGGCGTGCCTGGCTAGCTCAGTTGGTGGAGCCTGATCTTGGGGTAGTGAGTTCAAGCCCCATGTTGGGTGTAGAGATTACTTAAAAATAAAATCTTAAAAGCAAAAAACAAAAACCAAAAAACCTGAAAGGAGCATTCCGAAGGGACCAAGACTTCCCCGGGGAATTGCCAGGGTAAATGAGTCAGGGCCATACTCATGCAACACAGCAACTCATGCGTGTCCCTCCCAACTCCCAACCTGGCCCCTGCCCTAGGCAGACAGTGGAGGCTGAAACCTCTCAGGACGGCCCATGCCGTTCCCTCCAAGCTGTCCCTGGCACGGAGGAGGAATTCTGATCTCAGATAAGTAGGACCTGCTGCTTCCTGCTCATCCCTGGCCAGAGAGACCTCAGCTCAGGCCTCCCCTCTCCTGTCGGGGAGGCAGGGTTCCTCAAAGCCAACAGGAAACTCCAGCAGAGCAGGGCTGGGGTTTGCTGACCTTGTCCCAATAAACAGGAGAGTCAACAAAATCACACACCAGGCATTTCCTAACCGCAAACCCCCCCCCCCCGCCCCGTGCTGCTGTAAACACCCTCACAGATAGCTCCAAACCCCGGAATGGTGAGGATGGGGCAACAGGAGCGTGCTGACAGTACTCACACGCAGACCCACCCTTCCCTGGGAAAGGGGTCCTGGGGGGGCCAGGAAACGAAACGGGAGCAAACTGCGAACCAGCAACCCTGACAAGACTTGACATGGGAAGGGCGCCTGGGTGGCTCAGATGGTTAAGCGTCTGCCTTCGGCTCAGGTCAAGATCCCAGGGTCCTGGGATCGAGCCCCACGTCGGGCTCCTGGCTCAGCGGGGAGTCTGCTTCTCCCTCTCCCTCTGCCCCCCCCACTGCTCATGCTCGCTCTCTCTGTGTGTGTCGCAAATGAATAAATAAAATCTTCAAAAAAAAAAGACTTAACATGGGAAAAATAAGCAAACAGTAATAATACATGTGGAATAATACACTCCTCCCCATTCATATCTCTGGAGATGGGGATCACAGGAGACTTTCGCTTTCCATGACATCAAAATCAAAACATTATAAAAACATACAGCGGAAACGCAGCTATTTTTGTTAATAACAAAAAAAAAAAAAAAAAAGATTACTATTTCTTTTAAAATCCTGGCTGGGAAGGGCCGGGTCCTCCTTAACCAGAAGCTGAGGTGACAGGTGGATGCACGGAGCCCTCGGGCAGAGAACAAAGGACCGTGATCTGGGATTCGAGGATGTGGTTCGGGTCCCACAGCCCTCCTTCCTTCCTAACTCTTGGGCGAGCTGCTTCCTCCCCCTGAACCTCAGTTTCCACATCTGTAAATAAGGGACAACGGCCACCGCCTGAGTTTCCTCAAATGGCCAGAGGAAATCACTGATAAGGGTGTGTTTTATAAATTATAAAGTAGTCCATCCAATGCCGCTCAGGTTACGGAACACGTCCTGGGACGTACTCTGCTAAGTGCCTTCCCTCTATCAACATACTTAATCTTCAAAATACCCTACAGGGAGGTAAGGTGCTAAAATTATCGCCTTTTTACAGCTAAGGAAACTGAGGCTCAGAGGGGCAGGGTGACTGGCCCACAGTCCCTCACTGAACACGTGACAGCGAGGCCTCAAACCCGGCTCTGACTATGAAGTCTGGGTCCTTAACCAGTGCACTCTCCTGCCTTTGGGAACCGGTTTCCAAAGTGCAGGCCAAGGAATCCCGATCCCCAATGGTGTCCACGTGATCAAATAAGCACAGGGACACACAACGTGCCGGCTCCCCCTCCGAGCCGCCTCAAGCTCACTCCGACGCAGTCAAGGCTGAGAGGTCCTGCAGCAGGGACAACTTGTCTCCCAGGGTTATCTAACCACTGTGACCACAGAAACTGGTGTTCCACGGAACACACCTTGGGAAATGTGGTCAGGTCAGACTGACAAGACCTGCGCTGAGAGAGCAAAGAACAGAGGTGCACCATGAAACCTAACATTGGCATCTGAAGTCCAGCAGCCACATCCTCCTCCGCCGGCCACTGAGTCGGGAGAAGGAAGAAGCTTTCTGTCTCCTGCCACCTTTGCCCTCGATGCCCTGAATCTACAGTAAGAAGAGCAAAGGACTGCAGAGATGGATACTGCCCTTTGCCCTCTAAGCTGGGGAAGGCACCTGACTGGAAGCTGGCCTGGAAGGAGAGGGGCCCAGTCCTTACCCCGTGGACGGCTCTGCTATCTGCGTGTTGGCTGTCGGTGCTGAGGCTGGCCCACGTCTGTCTGGGCAGGGTCTTGGCATTCCTCTCGCTCCATGGAAGCTGCCTCCCTACGAGGAAGTAAGAACTACTGTCAGCAGGGATGTGTGACCATCAGAGTTACCTGCTGCGCTGCCAGCATTTTCTGAGTGCTGGCTCAGTGCCAGGCCCTGGGCTGGGCTCTTGGAGTGACAAGAGAGAACCAGACAAGCTACGGGGCAATGCCAACAATTACCGTTGGCTGTGGAGAGCCCAGGGCTCCGCTGGGGGTACCTGGCAGCTACAGGAATATGGAAGAAGCACTAGACCCAGACTAGTGGGGTGAGAGAAGGCTCCCTGGAAAAGGTGTTGCCTGAGTTGACTCCTGAGGAAGAGAAGAAGCTGGAGAAAGAGCATTCCAGGCATAAGAAACAGCACAAGTTTGCCTGGAAGAGAGAGAACATGACAGCTAGACAATGCTGAGTGGTTCAGTCTGACTAGATCTCGGACTGGAGGTGGGAGATGGCTGGACAGGAGCCACAGTGGGGCGAGCTGGGTCCAGGCAAAAACATAGCCTCAGCCCAGACACACGAGTTTGACTCAAACACAAAATCCAACCAGCACCTATTAGTCAGGGAGCATTTAGTGAGCATCTACTACATCCCAGGCACTCTGCTCAGAACCATCCACAAGACTCAAAAGGACAAGTCAGCAGGGTGGGGGGAGAAGTGTGATCAGACCACAGTAGGGGTGGGGGTGGGGAGTATCAAACCACTAGGAGTTGGGATGGTGGCTCAGCCACCGGGGAGAGGCCAAAGGATAAGCAGGAGTTAAGAGGAAGGAGGGAGTGCAGGTGGGGAGTGCACGGGCAGACAAAGGGACCTGAATGGCTCTGGGAGGCACTGTGGAGCCTTTTAACCACGTTTACCAGTAAGCATTTCACGCACCTACTCGGTGCTAGGCATCGTGCTGGGAGGAAAGAAGCAGAAGACAGTCCCCAGCCTGGAGGAGAGATAGGTCAATAACCCAGTAAACCCACACAGGGTGACGGCAACTAGCAGTAAAGCACCTAGAGCTGTAAAGACAGAGAGGCCACTAAGCCAGACTCTACCCCAACCCTGCGCTCCTCAAGGACGGAGTCCCCACTGAGGCTGGGCAGCCCAGTCACCTGACCATGGCCCAGCCTGAACCAGAACTCAGGCCTCGGAACTCCCTGTCACTGATGCTTCTAGTCCTCCCTCCTCCAGGAAACACACACTGACCACCCCCAACATATTCACCCAAAGCTAAGGCCTCCTTCCTCTGTAATATTTCTATTATTATGCTGGCCACTGTGTCAATGTTTTCCTGCATGCCTCTCCTCCCAGACTGCAGCTCAGAGGAGGCCAGGGACTGTGTTCTCTAGCATCATTCTTGGTCTAGGCCAAGTACTTACTAAAGAATGGCCAAGTGGATGAATGGACGAATAAATGATTGAAGGATCGAGGGATGGAGAGATGGTGTGCTGGGCTCTAGGGCCCCACACCTATCTCACCTGACTCCTCATCAGGTCTTAGACCATTAATCCGTGCCTCAGTGTCCCCATGTGAAAACTTGGAATCACCTCCACTCTCAGAGGACAGGTAGTCAGGAACCAGGCTGATCCCCTCCCTCCAGCTGCTACAGGTGAGGTCCAGCCCAAGCCAGGCAGCAACCCAAGACCCAGCAACTTCCCCAAGTTCCGACCCAATGGGGCAATCCTCAGGTTCCCCCTCTGTCCGGAAAGGCCACTCAAAGTTTGCAGAGGAAACTGGTGGGTGTGCCCGAGGGATGGAGTACAAAAGCACATCATTGAGTTGGGGAGGAGGGCAGTCACAAACATTTCTTGGGCCCCTGCTCTGTATCCTGGAAGGCAGAGGGGCATTAGACCAGAACCCAAAGCACCTCTAAGACTGGGAACACAGGAAAGACAGAGGCCGGTCATTCATGCCCAGCATCTCTCCAGTCCGCCAGCACAAGTCATCTGTCCTTACCTCCCCTCACAAGCCAGAGGAAGACCTGACCTTCATGAAGGCAATGCCAGTGTGACTGAGCCACGGGCACTGCCCAGTCTCTCTGAGCAAACTCCCACTCCCCCACCCCCTCCACAGGAAATGTAACCAACAGCAGACCTCCTCCTCCTGCCTCCAGCCTCCAGTCTGTCTGCCTGCAGGTCTGTCTACTCGGAGAGGTTAAAGAAACTCCTAATGGAAAAGGTGGGTGAGGCCCATGGGAGCCTTTCTAGCTCACCAAATCCCTCCTCCACAATCTAGGCCCAAATTCCCTTTCTCTCACAAGCTCTCTCCCTCTTCATGCTCACACCTCATCCTCAAAAGGCTTCCTGGGGTAGAGCCGGGGAAGAAGCATGAGGGGACTGTGGTCAGCCCCACCCTTCCAGCCAACTCCTAATCAGAAGGGTGCCGGACACCCCCCAACCATCTCTCCTCCTTCCCAAAAAAGGCAGTCCGTAGTTGCATCAGCTGAGCACCAGCCCAATCTTGGTTCACTCCGGTCCAGACCAAGGGGAAAAAACAGTCAACAAAAGAAGCAGAATCATCGTGAACCTCAACCACCCTGGCCATGCTCCTTCAGCCTGGGAATCAACTTTGCTGGATCTCCAGCCCGGACCTCATCAGATCCGGCTCTCAGGCCCACACTGATGCACAGGGCATGGGCAGGGCCCCGGGGCCTCAGACCCTGAACCGGTCTTCCCGGGAACCCCAGTCCACACGAGCCCCAAGATCTTAGCCAGGGATCCTGCCCCCAAGTCAGGGCACTGTTCCCGCCCGATCAAGAGGAGGGAGGGGTCCAAGGGAAGTGGAGGGGGCCAGGAGCCCAGGAGAAGAGAACCCGGGAAACCTTTCAAAACGGAAACAAAAACAAAAACCTGCCAAGGAGAGGTTCCAAGGTGGAACCTCTAGAAGTGGGGAGTGTGTGAGTGTAGGGGTTCGGATCTGGGGGAACCCAGGGGATGACAACGGGACCTGGGGGAGACCAGGCGGAAACTCCCGGTATGTAGAGCGCTGGGAGGCACTGGGGTGCCCGGGAGGGGGCTCGCGCGCCGCGGCACCGGGAAGAGGGTGGGGCCCCGGAGACCTGGAGTACGGGGGAGCCAGGAGGCAGGCCGAACTGAGCTGCCGCGGGAGGCCCCCAGGGAGCCAGCCGCGGCGGGCAGAGCCCGAGCGGCCCGAGACGCCCGGGACCGGGCAGCTGGCCGGGGGCGTGTAGGAGTGGGTTTCGAGAAGTGACAGCTCGTGCCCCTTTCCCCGCGCCACCCGCTCACCTGGTCCCGCCCGGTCCGGCCGCCCAGCAGGCAGCCCCGCACCCCCGCCGCTCCGTCCCGCCGCCGGCCGCTGCGCCCCTCCGGCGCCTCCTTTTGTTTGTCCCTCACTGCACCACTCAACCTCCTCCGCCCAGGAAGTGACGTCACCACAGGCGCGAGCGCGGCGGCTAGGGCGTCGCCATCTTTTGGATGGGAGCTCTCTTCGCGCCTTCACACCTTCAACTCCCAGGTGGCGCCATGTTGGTTTGGGGCGGAAGTAGCGGAGACCGGGCTCGTCCCCTTTAAAGGGACAGGGGCGGCTGTAACCTTCGGGGCGCGCTGGGGGACGAAGCGGTGAAGCCGCCGAGGCTGGGGTGAGTAGCTGGTCCATGCGCGTTGCTGCCCCGAGGCCGGGTGTCGAGGCCGGAGGACATGGTAACCGGTTCCGAGCTCGTTTGTGCCAGAATACTCGCTGCGTTTGATGCTGCCCGTACGCTGAGAGGCTGCGCCGAAATTCTAACCCAGCCTGGAGCCGCCCGCGGGGATAAATTGCGCGCGCTTGACGCTGACCCGCACTCGAACGCTGGGACCCGCCAGGCTGTCCTCTCTGCACCCACAACCCGCACCCCCGTCCCCCGCGATAGTATCTGTGGGGAGGAAGAAGCCCAAGGTAGCTTGGCTATTTATGGGCAGAGCCGGGGCTGGAACCGGGACACCGCTCAGTGGAGCCCGAGTCCTCGCAATTCCCACACCGACACTAGTAACGGCAACCACGTTAGGAAATCATCCATATAATGGAATGCTGTGCAGCCGTTAAAACGAAAAATGTTTAATATGCACTAACATGGAACGACTTCCAAAGATACCTTAGATAAAAAAAGGAAGGAGAAAAAGAGCCGCGTTGATCGGCGCTACAGTTTGTGGAAAAGAGCGTGTGTGAGAGTGTGCGTGTCTGCGGGTGTGCGCACCTCTGTCTGGTAAGATGCACAAGAAGTGGTTAACTGTGGAGGCCTAGGTACCCGGGCAAGGGGGGAGAATTTATTTCTTAAATAAGATGATGGGGTGCCTGGGTGGCTCAGTCGTTGGGCGTCTGCCTTCGGCTCAGGTCATGATCCCGGGGTCCTGGGATCGAGCCCCGCATCGGGCTGCTCCGCGGGAAGCCTGCTTCTCCCTCTCCCACTCCCCCCTGCTTGTGTTCCCTCTCTCGCTGTGTCTCTCTCTCTCAAATAAATAAATAGATCTTTAAAAAATAAGATGATGAAGATATAAGGGCTCGGATCCCTCAAGACTTGAGCCAGTGCCTGGGTTCAGCCCTCCTGCTGGAAGGTCTGATTTTCCCCTGTCGTTAGAGGAGGGAATAAGGCTCAGAGATTAGGGATTTTAGTGATATCTCCTGGCCAGGAAGGGGAGAAGCTGGAATTTGAGCCCTGGAGGGTTTTACACTAATGGCCAGAGTCTCCTTATCCCACTTCCCACTGAGAAGCTTTTTTTTTTTTTATCAACCACGTGACACCCAGCGTGGGGTCTGGCACACTGGCTAATCCAAGTTAACTGTTGATTGGCTGTTTACTGACTGCACAGGTAGAACAGACCAGAGACGACGTGATCTGTGCAATGAAGAGAGGAACACTAGAGGCAAGAGCCCAGACTAGAGTCCAAGGCTTGCCCTTTTCCAGCCTGGAGACTGTGAACCTGGCACATCCCTCCCTGAGCCTCCATGTCCCCACCTATAGAACTGACAAGCACGACCACAACTGCCACGGGTGCCCCCCTCCGTCCTGCTTTGGGCTTTACATGCAGATGAGCCCCATTTTACAGATCAGTAAGTGAAGCACAGAGAAATTAAGGTAGTTGTCCAAAGGAGGTCCCCGAAGGGCCTGACTCCCTCACTGACTGAGAGAGATTGCTGGGCGCCTGGGTCTCCCTCCGCCTCCAGGAATCATCCGCACTAATGCTTTGGGAGACCTTCAGTCCTAGTTGAGCTGCCAGAGGCTGAGGATCTGGTAGAGAACAGGACAGACACACAGTTCCTGTCCTTGAAGTCTAATGAGGGTGACAGACAATCCAGCAGTTAGCATCTCTGATGAGCTCTGAGGGCAGAAGCTCAGGCCTTGGGAGCACAACGGCGGGAGCATCTGGCGCAGCCCAGGTGGCGTCAGAGAGGGCTTCTCAAAGTAGGTAACTTTTAATCTGTGTCTGAAAAACGTGTAGGATACCTGGAAGGAGGAATGATGACGCTGGAGACCCACGCAGAGGTGTGCTCATACCTGAAGGTAACTGACATGATCAGAGACCACGCAGGTTAGAAATGTTCAGTCTAGCATCTGCATGAATCACTCCTTCCTCCTGGAGAATGCCTTCCCATGCCAACATCTGTGGCTTTCCACCCTCCAGCCACACTTAACTTGTGTGCAAATTCCGAAGAGTAGGACTTCCCGATTTTATGATCCAGGTGGGGGCGACAAAGGAACACAGGAAAGTTAACAGCAAGGAGGAACTTCTTAACTGACTCGCCCACCTCCCCCTTAACTGGACGCCCCCACCCCCACCCCTGAATACCTTCCCCCTCCAGATTGGCAGCCAACCTGCTAAAGCAGGAACTCTGGGGCGCCTGGGTGGCTCAGTTGGTTAAGCGACTGCCTTCGGCTCGGGTCATGATCCTGGAGTCCCGGGATCGAGTCCCGCATCGGCTCGGGTCATGATCCTGGAGTCCCTGGATCGAGTCCCGCATTGGGCTCCCTGCTCGGCAGGGAGTCTGCTTCTCCCTCTGACCCTCCCCCCATCTCATGTGCTTTCTCTCTCTCTCATTCTCTCTCTCTCAAATAAAATAAAAAAATCTTTAAAAAAAAAATAAAGCAGGAACTCTGCCCTTGTGAATCCAGGTGTCAGTACTGGCAGTTCCTGTCTTTCCAGCTGTTTACGCTCGCATGGGTTCTCAGGTTGCCAGTGTGTTGGGACATCGATAGTTAGTTGGGCATGACCCTTCCCTCCCCCAGTTCTGTAGCCAGTCAAAGTTACTCCTGCTACAGTGGGAGAGGAATCACTGTCAGTACTGTCCCAACAGACGTGGGGCCACATCCCACTCCCAGATTGCGCTGCCATCTCCTTGGAAAAATGAGCAAATGCTCATGCTACTTCCTCATTCCTGGACAATGGTGTAAGCTTTGGGTTTGCGGCTGAGGCCCTTCTGTGCTTTTCTGGGACTTTGACTTCGGGTAAGTCATTTCCCTGCTCTGAGCCTTAGTTTCTGTAAAACAGATGTGACTCTCTTTAATGTTCTTGCCAGGCATTAAGTATATAAACGTACATATATTTTCCCCCATGTGTAAAGCTGCCTTAAAGAGTGAGATTTCAATTTTGGATCCAGATCCTGTGCCAGGTGGAATAAGTAGTGGGCTACCTACTGTGTGTCTCACTCAGGGTCTCCACTCACAGCCACCACCCCGCTTACCCGGATACCTGCAGTCTGGGCTCCATAAGTCATTTCTCTCTCCTTGGCCAATTCCAAAGTCAAGGGAAACTAGATAGAAGTCACCGTGCTTACTAGATCTCTCCAGACAAGTTGTCGCCTCCCTTGGGGCAGAACCAGTGACTCAACAAGTTTTCACAAAACATTTGTCTTATAGGGACTCTCTGGTTTTAGACTGAAAAAAGAAAGAACGAGGAAAAAAGAGAGAAAAATCAGGATTCATTATCTGGCAAGAGACTTTCCTGTATAGGTTTAAATCTTAACAGCTTTTTTTTTTTTTAAGATTCTTTATTTATTTGAGAGAGAGAACAAGCATAAGCAGAGGGGAGCAGCAAAGGGAGAGGGAGAAGCAGACTCCCCGCTGAGCAGGGAGCCCAACACAGGGCTGATCCCAGGACCTTGAGATCATGGCCTGAGCCGAAGGCAGACGCTCAACTGACTGAGCCACCCAGGCGCCTCATTTTAACAGCTTCTTATTGACAGGTTCCTTAGATGCTTAGATGGCATGGGGCTAGTCGGCAAAGCCAAGATTCTCTTGCCTGCCCTTGCAAGCTGCCATGTGGGGTGGAAGGGGCATGGCTCCAGTCCCCAAGGGCTGCTGGTCTGCAGGCAGGGGAGCTGACGGAGGTGGCTGCACCCACCTTCTGGAAAAGGGATGTTTGGGGAAAGCCTATGGACTATTGGAAACAGGTGAACCAGGATTTGAATCCCGGCTCAGGCTCTCAGCTGAGTGTGCTTTGTTTGTTCTCCTCTGAGCAAAATAGGGATGATAATGCCTTCCTAGTAGTTTGTTTTAAGGATTAGGGAATTTAGCACAGGGGTCAGATGTATAGTAGTTGCCCTGTGAGTTCAGAGGAAGGCCCAGGTGGACACAGAGGCAGAGAGGAGGCAGAGCTGGGACTGGGCCCTGCTAGGGAGATAGGACTGGGAGGCATGCCAGGCAGGGGCACAGACGTCCATCCAAAAGCAAGCAAGGGGTGCCTGGCTGGCTCAGGTGGTAGAACGTGCAACTCTTGATCTCAGGGTGATGAGTTCAAGCCCTATGTTGGGCATGGAGCCTAAAAATAAAAAAGGGGCACCTGCCTGGCTCAGTCAGTTAACTCTTGATGTCAGCTCAGGTCATGATCTCAGGGTCGTGAGATAGAGCCCCTTGCTGCCCGCACTGCAGTACTTCTTCGACTAATATTGGAGGAATAACAATAACAATGATGATATCTGTGGAACACTGACTCTTTGCAGGGCACCACGCTAAGTGATTTTCATGTGTCTTCTCGTTGACTCCTCGTGACGACTTTATGAAGCAGGTGCTAATCATTATTCCGATTCAGAGATGATTCTCAGAAAGCCTTAATAATTTGGGGTGCCTGGGTGGCTCAGTCGGTTAAGCGTCTGCCTTTGGCTGAGGTCATGATCCCAGAGTCCTGGGATCAAGCCCTGTGGCAGGCTCTCTGCTCAGCGGGGAGTCTGCTTCCCCTGTCTCTCTACCCCTTCCCCGGCTCCTGCTGTCTTTTCTCGATCTCTCTCTCGAATAAATAAAATAAAATCTTTAAAAAAAAAAGAAAGCTCTAATAATTTGCCTAAAGTCACAAACTAGTAAATGGCTTCAGTCCAATGTCTGTCTGATTGCAAAACCTGACAGCC